TCTCTTTTTCTTTGGTTTCACAGCAAGTTTCCCACGCCTGCGTCACGAAGTGCGTCGCGTGTATTTCCGTTCAGAAGAGCAAATTGCGAAAGGCCCGCCTATCGCGAATGATAAAGGATTACCCATTTGTATAGAGAGAGTGGAGGCAAGTGGCTCGTTTCCCGTCGCGTACGCCACCGGCGAGCTCGTTCTTCCCGAACTTGACATTCAATGCATTTCGGAACTCTTTTTTTTTTTTGCGAGCGTCGCGTACGTTTCCGTGTCGAAAAGCAGATTGTAGTTATAAGAGAGAAAAGAAGAGAAAATTGATAGATATGTGGGGTTTAACGTCCCAAAACCACCATATGATTATGAGAGACGCCGTAGTGGAGGGCTCCGGAATTTCAGACCACCTGGGGTTCTTTAACGTGCACCCAAATCTGAGCACACGGGCCTACAACATTTCCGCCTCCATCGGAAATGCAGCCGCCGCAGCCGGGATTCGAACCCGCGACGTGCGGGTCAGCAGCCGAGTACCTTAGCCACTAGACCACCGCGGCGGGGCGAAAAGAAAAGTGAGCCCCGCAACTGTGTGCATCAGCGTGCCACACCTCAACAGTAGCTCACAAGGGATGGGGGTCAGGAGGGATTAAAAGGATAGGATTAAAGGTATGGAGAGAGAGAGAGAGAGAGAGAGAGAGAGAGAGAGAGAGAGAGAGAGAGAGAGAGAGATGCGCTGGGACAGCGAGCGAGGACATGTCGAAGGGATAGGAGAGATAGGAAAGAAGGAAACACGGTCACAGAAGTCCGAGGACGGGGCACCACTTGCGAGAGCTCTTGTCGGCGAACGGAGATGGCGTCCCTCCACGAGAGCTCCACGAAGCCCCTCCATGAGAGCCGATTGTGTGTAGAAAAGCAAATAACGCCAGTGGTGGCTGCGTTCGTGGGCTGTACAGCCGACGACGTACGTGCACGGTGAAGTTGGGCACGCTCACTCCCAACAATAGTTGAATTCCCCTTCGTGACCTTTATGCCCAGTGTATAGTGTGAGAATGCCAGGTGCACACGTTGCATAGTTCTCTGCGAGATCCCAGATGAAATAGATTACAATGAGATTACAATGAGCCAAGACTGTGAACTCTGGAGAGTTGGTAATGCTTCGTCTTCGGCGAATACCATGCGAAAAAATAAAAGCGACAGAAACAATCGACTGAACAAAAGCGCGAGGAAAAGCTTGTGTGTGTCGCACACTATTCGGTCGTTTTGTCCCTCTCTATCCCTCTCTTTCTCTCTATCTCTTTTCGTGCACGCACGCGCGCGTGTGTGCGCGTGTGTTTGTGCGTGCGCGCGCAACATATCTTAATACTACGACTACCGTTGAAAGGCACCATGGTATAGCGACGGGTAGTTTACGAGTCTCGAACAATACGAATGGATGGGAACACTTTCATCCACGTTCGAACGGCGGAACTTGCACACGTGCGGAGATCATTCGCATCTTTTCGGTACGTTCAGAATGGTACACTAATCACGTACTTCCGGCTTCGCATTAACTTGCGGCGCATGTATTAGGAACAAGGCATCGTCACGAGATTAGCTTTCGCTGTTTAAAGAAAGAAAGAGAAAGAAAGAAAGAAGGAAAGAAAGAAAGAAAGAAAGAAAAAAAGAAAGAAAGAAAGAAAGAAAGAAAAAAAGAAAGAAAGAAAGAAAGAAAGAAAAAAAGAAAGAAAGAAAGAAAGAAAGAAAGAAAGAAAGAAAGAAAGAAAGAAAGAAAGAAAGAAAGAAAGAGAGAGAGACAGTGAGAGTAGTCACTGGAACGGCTGAGTGGAACAACACTACGTATTGTCACTTGGTAGCGAGGATCCTGACTAACACCATGTTATGGGGGGGGGGGGGGTAGGAGGGCTTGTTCTGGTTGTTCCCTTTAATTTATTGATCGATCAGCACGAAGATGTTTGCTGACTGTCGATTAAAGTGAGGTTCGAGAAAATTAATCGCACTTCACGAAACCAGCAGCGCGCAGTGAGGACGTGTGATTAACTTCAATCCTTCTCCCCCTTCCCCTCTTACCTAGACACAAATCCTTCCCACCCCACGCATGTAAGCAACGTGAGATGTATTCAAAGAGAACTTGTTGTTGGGCTAGTTGGTAGAGCATTCCGAAAAGGTAATTAGAGCGCGAAAACTTGACACAATCACTCACACACGCACACACCCATGCATCAAACACACAGCGCTCACTTCCAACTGATTTATTCATAGCTCGAAGGCTTGAATATATACAGGACACGTTGTGCGCCCACACACCAAAGAATGTGTCCTGTATATATTCAATGTATACAGGCTCATTGTGTCCTGTATATATTCAAGCCTTCGAGCTATGAATAAATCAGTTGGAAGTGAGCGCTGTGTGTTTGATGCATGGGTGTGTGCGTGTGTGAGTGATTGTGTCAAGTTTTCGCGCTCTAATTAACTTTTCGAAAGCAACGAGAGAAACCGGTGCTCGCTTATATAACGCACATCTGTCCGAATCACAGATCAAACATCGCACTATGCGGACGTAGAGGTGTAAACAGGCGCACGGACACACGCATACAGTATACGAGACAGGGGAGTAAAAGGAGGATGGGGGGCTGTGCCCCCCGAAATTTTTCCATTTTGCTCAGATATAGATATACTTTTTCGCCTTTGCTTGCGTATGCATGTGCTTTTTTCACTTCTGCACGCACAGATACAAGCGCACGCAAGATGAAAAGGGCGGGGGGGGGGGGGGTTCAACCATACATAAAGTAAATATGGTTGAACCCCTCACCCTCAATACCCCGAAAAAGATTTCTCTCTACGCCCGTGGCGCGGGGTCTGATACAATATACGAACCTCGGCGTTCGTACTTTTGGTCCTCCGTACGTGCGTGTCCGCCTGTCCGCGATCCACCATACATTTCTGAGACGAGCGTGTGGTGCATACTACACCATACTACCACTAGGAGGCGTCTCTGCGTACAAAAATGCACTAGGAGGCGCATCTGCGTACCAGAAGGAATGCGCCGCGCAAGATCGCGACTGAAGCACCAGAGGGGAGAGCGGCCAAGGGACGGCCAGGTGATATTGAACGTCGAAAAAAATGAGAACTATATATATAAATGAGAAGAAGAAGATGAAGGAGACAGACTGAAGACACGCGTGTCCACCTCTCGAACGGAAGCGGGGAGTTCGCAAACGCTGTTGCACGGGAGTTACTCAGCAACCTCTGGCACTTAGGTTATAGCAGACGACACACGGGAACGGCATCCGCCAGTGAATACCAACGAAAGAAACGACACAACCACGTCCATTGATCGACGCCCCAAGTTCCCAACACAGGGGCGCTTAGCCTGGACACGGCCGCCTGGACACGGCCGCCTGGAACACATAGTTCGCACGGTCCCCGCCAGGAGGCAAAGGAGAAGCGGCGACTGAGTGGTCAGGCTACTGCTGCTGCGGAGGCCAACGCTATAAGTTCTGTCCCGCCGTCTCGCTAAATCCGTGCAGCGCGGCGAACGTCAAGGTTGTCAAGAGAAAGCTCTGGCAAGCAGGAGCCACACGGCAGTCATTCGATCGCCCGAACCGTCCACAACAAACACCAACAATATGTAGCACAAACAGTCTAAAGCCCAAGCAATCTATAGCATGAGCAGATCATGAAACATGATTAAGTCTGTAAGCACGATCAGTCCAGAAGCATGAACAGCCTGGAGCGCAGTAAATGGATAGCATGAATAGTCCGTGATCACTATCAGACTCTGGCGCGACAACTTTTCTTCCTCGGTAACTGCGTTAATACACGAAATAATGACTGAGCTGTCGATATCCCTCAAGATACGACACGTTCGCAGAGCCTCCTGTAGCCTAGACAAGTCAATAAACTTCAATACCAACAAAGAAATGACCTGATCCTTGAAACCTACCTATAAGCAGCCGTCAATCTCGCACATATAGGTAGATAATTTTTTTTTCATGGCGCAGATTCCGGCCGCTTCGCCAAGCTGTGTTATTGCGTTCTTGGTATTGCTGGATGTCGATCGATCGATATGTGTGGCTTAACGTCCCAAAACCACCATATGATCATGAGAGACGCCATAGTGGAGGGCTCCGGAAATTCCGACCACCTGCGGTTCTTTAACGTGCACCTAAATCCGAGCACACGGGCCTACAACATTTCCGCCTCAATAGGAAATGCAGCCACCGCAGCCGGGATTCGAGCCCGCGACCTGCGTATCAGCAGCCGAGTACCTAAGCCACTAGACCACCGCGGCGGGGCGCGGTATTGCTGGAAGTCGAGTTTCACAGATAGCGGGTACCGTATTCGCACGATTCTAACGCGGACTTGCTTCAGCAGCATTGCTTCAGCTTAAAAGAAAAAATGTCCTTTAACACGAAAGTGTTTTATGCCGGGGTCCACAAAGACTTCAGTGCCGTATTTCCGTTTCGGAAATGACGCCAAAAATACTCATGGTCAGAAAGCAAAAAAAAAAAGAAAGTTCCGTCAATTAGAGTCATACCCGCGACCTTTCAGTCCGCGGCGACAGAAACCGGGCACGCTGAGCCACAGAAGCATACAGTGGAAGCTTTACAAACGCGTCTGCGTCTCTCTCTCTCTCTCTCTCTCTTTTTTTTTTTTTTTTTGCGGAATGCGCAATTTTGTTGAAGCATCAAAGAAGTGTCTTTGCAAAAGCCTTATTTCTTGGAAACACAGTTTTTTTGTTTCATTTACTTCACTTCAACCTGATCGTATATTTTTTTTAGTTCATTTCTTCCTTGTCTTTCTAATAACTGTCATGTTTTACGCTTATTTGTTTTTCTTCCGTTTATTATCTTTTATTGGACACAGATTCTTTCACAAAATGCCCCTCAGACGATATACTCATGGACTGATTTTTTTTTTTTGTGCCATTTACGCATATTCCGCTTTCTGTAATAATAAGGAACTCAAAGAAAAGAAGTTGCGTGCAGTATATAGACGGGCATGCATGCGATACTCACCGTTGTAGTGAGGGAAAGGTTTGGGGCCGACTGTCCCATGGTCGAGCTTCGCATACGGACCAAATTCGACTGCCCCGACGTCCCTGAAATCGATATATATAAAACGAGGTTTTATTACGCAATTTCAACAGAGCGGAGAGAAACGCGAAATCAGTTCCAACTAATTTACACAACTGTCAGCACATAAACATCGAAACCTCCTAAGTGATTCCGTCGGCCATATGCGTATTTACCCATGTCTATAGTAGAGTTTCCTAGGCGGAAACCTCAGGTGCCTCGTGAAAGGCTAAAGTTGACAGTACACACGTGTACCGACGTCGGACGGCTTCGATACGAGTGATGCAAAAAGGTGATAGCATGTGATAACATCATGTGATAACATTTTCATTTCATTTATTTACTCTAAAGGCCGAAGCATTACAGAGAAGAGCGGGTATACATCGTACAGAAAATCAGGAAATACAGCAAATCAAAATTATATGCGCACAATGGCGGTCTGAAAACCATAATTGTCATTTTGTGTATCATTAGGATATCGCATATAGCCGGGGCTAACGACGTTCAAATCACGTCACATTGTAGAGCGAGGGAGATAATAGCGCGAAGGCAGACGCACAAGAGAGACGACACACAAGCGACGATAACAGCGCTTGTGTATCCGTGTCATCTCTCTTGTGGGTCTCCCCCCGCCCCCTTCGCGCTATTACTGCAATAAACCAACTCGCCCAAAATAAAAATTTGATGACGTCATGCCGTGGCATCATAGCTTGCTCAAAAGTGGGCTGATCACGGAGGCAATGCTAAAGCAGGTGACGAGCAGAAAGCCGAGTATGGTGCGATCACTGTCTGTACAATAATCAGGATTCAGCTGGGCAAGCCACCTGCCATGTTAGCATCCAACAACCCCGATTAAATTAAATATTCTGAATTAAATTAAATAACCAGTAATAAATTAAATAATCAGGAATTAAATAATCAGGATTCAGCTGGGCAAGCCACTTGTAAGGTTAGAATCCAACTACATCGATCAATTAGCATTAACTACATCGATTAAATTGTTTTTTTAATAACACAGCCAGCATGTCGCCAATATCTGTATTTCAATCTGGTGCAATTCAGACCTGTATTCACGTGAAGAACAAAATGACAAATTTTGCAACAAGCACTCGATAACTATAGAAGGAGAATATTAAACTATAGAATTTGGCACCACAGGCCAGCGCACGCGATGTCCCAGTGACGTCACAGAAAGATCGGGAGGTATCTCCATCTATAGTTTGGAGCCGAAAACCTGAGAGGCCCCCGTGAAACTGGCAACGACGTCTGACTTCCTGACTAAGGATTCCATACACCTTTTGCCTACTTTGAAAGACAAAATAAATGTTTTATTTCATCTTTCCGAATAGGAATAGCAGGCGTGCTGCCACTTATGAGTGTGCATACACCTCTTCCCAGTTTGTCTACCAATGGGCCTTTTTCGGGACACTATAGCCTGCGCATGCGCAGCGGCGGTGACGTCACGTGCGCCATGTTTTTTCGGGTGGGTCACTGGTTGGCGACATTTACGAATTATCCCGAAAAAAACCTGGCCCCGAGATTTTCTACTGATGCACGGCGGACAAGTTCGGAGGCCACTGACACTCCACTTTCCATTTCGGCTATCTTAATAGGAGGCGCTGTTCGTACCTGAAAAAAAGGACTATAAAATGTTTCCTAATTCCCTAGGTTTTCAAGCGTTCGCGTGAGCAACCTTTGCCGGTTCAATTACTGGTCCTCCCTGACTGGTCAATGACTCGCGGAAACGAGCCCTCCAGCGCTGAAGAAGTCAGGGCACTGGCTTAAGCAACCCGAAGGTCGCGGGATGGAATCCCGTCCGCGGCGGCCGTATTTCGAAGGCAGCAAAATGCTGGAGACCCATGCCGTAGATTTAGGCACATGATAAACAACGTTACGTGGTCAAATTTTCCGGAGCCCCCCACTAAGGCGTCCCTCGTTATCATGTCGTGGTTTTAGGACGGAAAGCAAGCACGGAAACTTGGAGAGCTTAAGCAAGTCGCGGAAATACGGTACGCAAACACGGTACCACGAGGGTAGCCTTCCTCATTTTTTGGACATTGGCATTGCGCTAGAAAAAGGCACCCGAACCACAAAAGATTGCTCAAACATTGCTGTGGCGTTGTCCCGCCTCAATGTTATACCGGTCCGCCTACGCATTCATGACAAAACATGTCCGGGGCACGCAATGTCACTAGAAAGGAAGTGCGCTGCCGTACTGCCTTACCGTATTTGCGTACCGTATTTTTGTAACTAGCTAAAACTCTATTTTAAAGCGACAGATAGTGAGAGCGAGGGAGAAAAAAAATCACGGCATATACACGAAGTGAATGGTGATGAGTGGGCGAAGCTCCAGGGGAACATTAACCCTCTTACATTCCCCACTCTTCTACGCGAAGACACGAAAACACGTATGTACAGTACATAATAACAATGCGCATATGGTGTTGAGATGTCCATATGGATATTCATACGAATACCCATACCCATATGAATGTCCATATCGATACGGATATGGTTATCCACATGGATATGAACATTCATATGGCTATCCATATGAATATCCAAATGGGCATCCATATTGATATGGGCATCCATATTGATATGGATATACATATGGATATCGATAGCGTGCCACGCCGACAGACAGGGTACGGATCGACCCTAAAGAGCTTCAACCGTAAAACTCGTCATTGAAAATGCTAAAGGTGAACCATTCGCATCAAACGCAAAAACTGACCAGCCTTCCGCGACGGCGTCTCACACCAGTGACGCATAAAAATATCAACACCGTGTGATGACGTGACCGTACGACGTCATCGTGACGTTTCAGGTTTCCAATATCTGGGACGTCGTAATGACGTCACCACATGCCATCTTCGCTCGGCCAAAGGTGGGCCGATCACGGAGGCTATGTAAAAGGCAGCGGAGGTGCCTCGGATCACGGAGGTAATCTAAGCGCCGTGCGTTGCAGCTCCCATAGTCACTAGCGCCGGTGTTCTCTCTAGTATATTCATAGGAAACTACATGTCTTTGCGGACGGGTTACACGGCCACCTTATTGGGTTGAGGCCTTGCCATTTTCAATCTTTAACAACTTCGCGAACAATGGGAGGAAGCATACGCGTAATAAAATGGTTGGGTTGATGCGTTCGCCGACGTTTCCTGACTTAATCTATTAACGTCAAAATATACAAAAGTGAAAAAAAAAGCGAACGGTTACTTAATAACCCAAGGTGACGGCACCAACGTTCTTCGCGTACAGTAAACCGCAAAAGTTTGCGGTCCACGCAACCGCGTGGCCAGCAGCCCCTTCGGGACATTCCGGTACGTCAGCGGCGTTCGAAAGAGCGCATAGCCCGTGACGCACCCCTTATTTAATCAATGGCCTGTCCATTTTCTGACCGGACGCAAATAACTTTCGCCTTCGACGTTCTAACGCGACGCTCTTTGTGCCAACCGCGGCTATACTTGCGTCTGTCTCGAGAGCAGCCATTCAGCATAACTGTTATCAGTTACAATCTTTCGTGCTCGCGATGGGGCATCTGCCCACCGGCACACCGTAGTCTCTGGTCCTGCAATCAACGTGGAAGTGTGACGGCCGTACTTCGGATAGACACTTTGCGTGAACAACTCTGAATTAACAACAGGCAGCGCGGCAGTAGAAAAATTGAAGGGCCGGTGAATAACAATGAGACCCGTTTCTGGCCCTACACTGCGATCGACAGTAGATGGCGTACCGCTATAGGTGGTGAGACAAACAGTTTGGCACGTGCTCGCATGGTCCGTAAACTTTTGTGGTTGACTGTATGTGAAGTAGTCTGTGATACCGGCGTCACGGGGTAAATTTTGATCGCTTCAGCAGAACACGAGGTTGGGCTCGTTGGTGCTTACTCTTTGACATCCTGACCGCAGCCCCCGCCGCGGTGGTCTAATGGCTAAGGTACTCGGCTGCTGACCCGCAAGTCGCGGAATCGAATCCCGGCTGCGGAATTTCCGATGGAGGCGAAAACGCTGTAGGCCCGTGTGCTCAGATTTAGGTGCACGTTAACGAACCCCAGGTGGTCGAAATTTCCGGAGCCCTCCACTACGGCGTCTCTCATGATCATATGGTGGTTTTGGAACGTTATACCCCACATATCAATCAATCTTGACCACTGAAAAAAAAAAAGACGAGGCCAGAGGGAAGTGCGACGACAAGATCGGGAAGCTTTCAAAAAGTTTTAGAAAGACGATTCGGCGCACCAGCTTGCGCACTGTAAAGTCAGCGCCATGTGGAGTTCGGTTTCAGGGGGGGGGGGGGGGGGGCGAAGATTCTGAGCAGAAGCCAAGATCTAACAGCACGTGAGCCATTATAAGCATATTCTAGACAAAAAAGCGGTGACAATGTGAGGTATGCTTCTAATAGATTATTTCTATCAGAAACGTTTTTTTTTTTTCAGTAATCAGCTGCCCCACTAGGCTGACAAGTGGATGAAACCACGTCTGCGCATGTAATAGCTGGCTATATATCACTACGTCTTTCTATGAGTAAACGAGTTGGAAGTTCACCACCCGGGAAGTCGCACTTCCCTTTACCCTTAATCTTTTCTGTCCGGTATGCACGTCAAACAATTTCGATCACGATCCGTCCCGATCCGGATGGAACGCGATTGGCTTTCTTCACTGCGGGATGCGGCCGTCGCTGCCTGAAATTTCGACCCCGATCGGGCTCAATCGCAATTAGCAAAGCATCGCGTAACACAAGGTACAAGTTCCGAGTTGAAATACGGACACCCACACGGCGTATAACAACGGGCCCCCGACGCCACGCTTTGCCAAAACGAGACAGCATGCAGAGGCACTCGGCGGATTTCGTGGTTGACGGTTCTTTCGTCCACCATGTCCTCTTTTAGACAACCGATCGAGGCCCCCGTCCCCGAATTTCTCTAACGTCTTCCAATCTTTTACTTTTTTTTCCCAATCTTTACTTTTCTCTCTCTCTTCTAATCCCTGCTTATCCCTTCCCTTGTGAGCTACACCTGAGGTGTCGCACTTTGATGCAGAGTTGATTGATTGATCGATTTGTAAGATTAACGTCCTAAACCCACTATATGATTATGAGAGACGCCGTAGTGGAGGGCTCCGGAAATTTCGACCACCTGGGGTTCTTTAACGTGCACCCAAATCTGAGCACGCGGGCCTACAGCATTTTCCGCCTCCATCGAAAATGCAGCCGCCACAGCCGGGATTCGATCCCCCAACCTGCGGGTCAGCAGCCGAGTAACTTAGCCACTAGACCACCGTGACGGGGCCTCTGATGCAGAGTGTTGCGGGGCTTAAAAAAACACTGCCCCCCCCCCCCCCATCCCGCATGCTTACGCGACGCTATACACCGCACACACGCACCTTGTGTCGGCTTTCTTCTCTTTTTACACATGGCGAAACCTCGCCTCATTGCAACTTATGTCCTAGCGCCAGAGCCAACTTCCAGCACATATTTCTGAATTGTCTAAACAAGCCCAAGCCTCCGTGGCAAGGGTCAGAACACCAGGAGCGATGGGAGGCTGCTCTGCGCAGCTCGCAACCGGGTTTACAGCTCCGGACAGTGAGCTGGGCCAGAAGAGTCGCCGAAGCACAGCAGTGTCCAGCCACCTAGAGCGGCCCGAGGGCTCGTCGTCATCCTGATTCCACTTCCCCCTCAAATGATTCTTTCGTGAATCAATAAAGTTGATTACCTACCTACCTCGAGCGCCGCTCCCGAACGCCGGCGAGAGAGTAAGAGGACCGCCGCCGGCGCCGTCCGGGTCCTGCCCCTCGGACTTCTCTGGACGTCGCCGTGCGAAGTGCGGCGCGACGAACGCGTCTCGCGACGCACGCGGGCACGTGTGAACGGGTCTTCTTCGTTCGGAACGCGTCGCGACATCGCGCACCGGGGCTGTGGGGCAGCAAACACACGCCGTGGGCACTTCGGTATCACCACACCGACGAGCAGCCAGTCGCCGCTGCACCACAACCGGTGACGTCTCAACGAGAAAGATCGAGCGAAAACGGGTGACGTCACCGGTGTGCCGTGAGAAAAAAAAAGTGGGAACCAGCGCGGCAGGCGGCGCTTCGTGTATCTACAGAAGTTTTGAATAAACTTTCTCGTTGATAACGATGTAGTTTTTGTTTGTCAATACTTCGACAGCTTTTGAACGCGCATTTCGAGCTTGATTTAGCTTCGGGGGCACAGGACTTATTTCAGGGGCGGGGACGTATCCAGAATATTTAGGGGGGGGGGGGGAGGCCGGTTGATATGTGGAGTTTGACGTCCCAAAATCACCATATGAGTATGAGAGACGCCGTAGTGGAGGGCGCTCCGGAAATTTTGACCACCTGGGGTTCCTTAACGTGCACCCAAATCTGAGCACACGGGCCTATAGCAATTTCGCCTTCATCGAAAATGTCACCGCCGAAGGCGGGATTCAATCCAGCGACCTGCGGGTCAGCAGCCGAGTACCTTAGCCACTAGACCACCACGGCGGGGCCTGCGATCAAGATGTCGAACAGTAAGCACCAACCAGGCCGAACTCATGTTCGGCTTAGGCACTGGACCGCCTTAGACAATAGACCACCGCGGTGGGGCAAGGGGGGGTGGGGGGTCAATTACCTAGAATATATGTCTGTCTGTGTGATCGCAGTGTGCGCGATCACGTGCACGGCACCCGCGCAGATTAGATACCGGACATGTGTGCTTCAAGATTAGCGGTCAACATTGCGAGCGTAAACAGAAAAAAAATATTCTGCGATTTGACGTGGGAAAAGCAAGACATGATGCTACGGTAAGCCGCAGTTGGGTGGGCTTTACTATTAATAGACACTTTTAGTTGGGCGTACGTAACGCGCCCACGTACGCAGCAGTGCCACGGGAGGGAACTGCGCATGTGCAGCACGCAACGCATCGATTCCAGAGATTAAAAAAAAATGCGGCGTGCGTAAACGTGACGAGGCGAAGCGTACGTAGCGCGACGCTCTCGCGATATCTCGATTGAAACAGGAACCAGATAACGAAACAGCAGCGACGGCGTCGACGGCAGAGAGCAACAAGGCCGGCCGAAACCGAGTATATTTTACTTTGGCGGACGACGTTGCGCTGATACCGCACGAGGGCGCTAAAAAAGCACCCAAAAAGCTGTTTTATTTCTAAGAACATACGTCTAGTTGAACCGAACGTATCTTGGTGCGATCGATACGGTGAACTAAAAGTGTCGCTGAGCGCTTCGCTTGCAGCCTACGCAACGTGTCGTGCGACATACGTAGGATCGTTACGTACGCCCAACTAAATGTGTCTATTGCCCCGCCGCGGTGGTCTAGTGGCTAAGGTACTCGGCTGCTAAACCGCAGGTCGCGGGACCGAATCCCGGCTGCGGCGGCTGCACTTTCGATGGAGGCGGAAACGTTGTAGGCCCGTGTGCTCCGATTTGTGTGCACGTTAAAGAACCCCAGGTGGTCAAACTTTCCGGAGCCCTCCACTACGGCGTCTTTCATAATCATATGGTGATTTTGGGACGTTAAACCCCACATATAAATCAAAAGTGTCTATTCTTGACCGCCCCGAATATTCAACGTGCTACGTAGTACACGGTTGTTCCGCCGCCGACCAAGACGCGGATGTCGCGGAGGTAAATCAAACCCCCGAAATAATTCTTCGACCCAAGCCGTTATAAGCCCACTACGAAAGGTCGAAGTGGAATCGGCGCATGTGCGACCGAAAACTGTCGCTTCCTCTCGCCAGTCTGCGGTACGTCGCTGCTGTCAGCATGCGAAGTTTCAGCGCTGATGGTGATGACCTTGACAAGCAGTTACCTGAAAACGAGGTGGCAAGTAGCAGTCGCCTAGACTGTATACGTTACCATTGTGTATTACTCCAATTATTGCTAGATGTAGCTTTCAAGCCGTTATTTTTTTTATTCAATGACGCACTGAGGCGCTTCGGTTCGCCCGCATGTAAATCGGGTTTTGGTCGTATGAATGCAAAGATGTTTCCTCACTGGAAAAAAAAAAGAACTTTTTATTTTAAACAGTTACGCTTCATGAGGCCACGAAAGAATCTCTGATGCGCCAGTCTGGCGTGCTCCTCGTGTCAGTTTAAGATCTTGCCTTTCACCGTACTAACGCTGGGATAAAATAATCTCAGTTCTGCTTGCAAGGGCGAAGCGATGAATGCGATATAAACAAACAATTGGAATGGTACAGGCAAGACCAGCCGCTAACTCCTTTAGGATCCTGTCCAGCTTGACTTCTTCGACCGCTATCGCATGGGAACGCGCTCACTCAATGTAGCGAAGCGGTTATTGGGCTGTCTGCCATATCAACACTAAGTGAGAGGTCGAAGGACAGCAGCCACAAGGGTAGAAGCCACCTACTGCTGTCTAGAGATAACGTGCACTCGCCTTCTGATCAAAGACTATGTCACTGACCGATCGCCGCAAGATCCCACCGGCACCCTTGTATACTCTTTCGCTCGGCCAAAAAATGGCCAGGCGTTTCCTCTCTGCCTTCTTAGGAGCCATCGACAGCAGCCGTGGAACGCGAGGCGACCTTATCACATGCGCCCTTCGTGCGACGGAGCTGGACGGCTTGCTCTATATGCGCTTCAGTCGTTCTCGTAAACACAACTGTGCACTCCAACTTAGAACAATTGCGGCAAGGGGCAGTGTCATCGGTTTGGAATTTATATGGAACATGACGGCGACGGCGAAAATCCGCGGAAAGTGAGAAGTGGTTTTATTTTGCCATCGAATCATTTACAAAAATTTGTGTATACAGAAGGAGGTCCCATAGTCAGAGACTAAATCGTGACCTCCTAGTGTCCGTATAGTTGTCCGTATAGTCGCTACAGCGCTAAGACGTAGTATATAAAACGCGAGCACTCGCCTGTGGCCAGCGCTCCCGCGCAGAAGGATGCCGTGCACGACGAGCTGAGCAGCTGCCCGAGCTGCCCGCCTCCGGCGATGCCCACACCGTGCAGCAGCAGCGAAGTGGCGTGGTGATAGTGGTGGTGGGCAGACAGCGCCGCCGACGGAGGCATGCACGCCAGGGACTCCCGCCGCCGCCGTTCGGTGGTGCAGCGACTGCGGTGGGCAGCGTGCTGCTGACGGGGACCCAGCGGGCTCCAGCCGGGACTCAAGTCGCAGCCGCCCGACGAAGTCTCGTCGGCGGCCGCCAGGCGCCGCGGCGAGCAGTTGGGAGGCGTCCGAGAGAGGAAAGCGCCCGGTCCCGTGTTACCGCCCAGCCCACCGCCAGGTGACGTGGACGACGAATCCAACTGCACAAAGGGAAGCGCAACGAACATGACGTAACGCCTAGGAAAAGGCTACAGTTAAGAGAGAGAGAGATAGAGACAAAGATGCAAGGAAAGGCAGGGAGGTTAACCAGACACACATTCGGTTTGCTACCCTGCACTTGGGAAGAGATGAAGGGGAGAAAAGAGGTTGCAGAGAGATGAGAAGGTACACACAATCACGAGCACACTCGGGGAGCACACATAGTCTACAGGCGGTCGCTCAGGTTTGTTGACTTTAAGTAAAGTAGCAGTGCTTTAGTCGCTTTCTGCGCAACTGAGGCGACAGTTAAATTAGAGGAAAAACACAATATGTCCGCACCCTCTCCTTAGGGTACAAGCGCCTATAGTATAATCACCGTATTCAAGAACGCTCCTTGACTTGAAATTCCCTTTCCACCACCTTCTGTGCAGCACAAACGCATTTCAAACGCGCTGCGTTGAAGGCAGTGCCAAGTCCAGTTCAAGTCAAGAAGCGTTTCCGAATACGGGGGTAAGCGACTAAGTTATTTTTTTTTCTTACACCGTTGTCTTGGCGTAGTTCCCGCGCTTCATGCGCATATCATATCATGCGCTTAATAGCGCTACTCCACTAGACTGAAACCAGAGAAAGTTCATAAACGGACAACCCAGCGATTCCATTGGCACTTGCCACCGTCTCCGCAATATCACACTTGCCGATACAGTGGCGCCTTCTCTTGGGCGTCGTGGGTACCAACCTGATGATTTCGAAGCATCTTTCGCGATTTAAAGTAAATCGTTGCGACAAACTCTCGGTTGAATCAGCAGTTTCCATTATTTAAGGCGTTGCTATATTCACTTTGAACTGGTTTCGAGCGCCATTAGCCTTAATTGTTTTAGGCCTACAGCATTTTCGATGGAGGCTAAAATGCTGTAGGCCCATGTGCTCAAATTTTGGAGCACGTTAAAGAACCTCAGGTGGTCGAAATTTTCCGAACCCTCCACTGCGTCGTCTCTCATAATCATATGATGGTTTTGCGGCGTTAAATCCCACGTACCAATCATGTTTTAGGCCCGTATAGACCACTGAGCGACTATGCAACACAAGACAGTCAATGAGCGACAAGTGAGGCCCCGAAAATTTTGCTTATGTGAAAGGTTACCACACAGTGCATAAGGGAACATGAAGCGCTTAAATGTGCTTGGAAAACTGTGTCGTTGGAGCCAGTATTTCTGCAAGCGGACGCCTCCAATCCTTGGCCACATGTTCCCATGGATTTCGCGTCACAGCGTAGAAGTGTAGGATAAAATGCTGTAGAACAAACACAGACTGAGTGTGGCTTGCAAGTTGTCAGCACCAAACCAAGCTGCATATTCGGGCGTCGCTTTCCGGAGAGTGTATGCATGCTAACGACGGTGTTTAGCGATGTTGAAAAGCCCTAATCCACCTAAGGGTGTGAGATCAAGCTACAACGAATACCGACATGGGCTACTAGCCTTATCCCGGGCTCGACTCCTGAATCGGGAGGAAGATCTCTTAAACTAAGAAACTTTCAGAGGCACCCATGCTGGTTTCCTTAATCGATTTGTGTTTAACTTGGTTGAGTTATTAATCAATTTATTCATTTATTATTATTATTATTATTATTATTATTATTATTATTATTATTATTATTATTATTATTATTATTATTATTATTATTATTATTATTATTAATTCTTACTATTATTATTCCTCGCCTAATCATCGTTTCACAACCCCGTTACGAAGGACTTTATTTGTTTTTATTTTCATGAGCAATTACTGTTTTTACACTCAAACATTCTGTAAAAAGGCAATAGGGTCAAAATTAAAATGAGAAGAAAAGCTCGCTGCGAAATTCCGCCCAGCGGAAAACCGCGCAACCAATTTTCACGTAAAGACGCACCGGTCCTTCTTCAAAGCAAAGCAGAAGGGGCTTGTACAATACGCATCGAAAGACGCATCGGATTCGGTCCTCGAAAACCGCCCTACCTCGAAAAAAAAAATCTAGGATGGAATTTTCGCTGCACGCAGTAAATTGTTTCAATCAAAGCGCAGGTGTAGTCTGACTTTAATAAGCGACTCCACTCGAATAAGACCTTAAGTGAGCACGCGGGCGCAAAAAAAAAAGTACGGCGCCAGCCTTACTTAGCACGCCCTCTAGACATTGTTCGAGCCGCACTCGAATACGCCCGAAGTCTTCGAATCGCGCAAACCCGATTTAATGAAGGGATTGCGAACACGAACGGCATTCGGTTTTGCAGGCCGGCGGCATCGGGCGCGCGATGAAAAGGTGGCTTGTGATATCTAAGACGTCAGGTCGACGGACGGGGGTGCGGGCTTACTCTACATACTTCAAGCTCGAACATAAGCTCGAACGTTTGTACCAGATAGTTAAAGGACATTACAACATAGATACCTCCCACATTATCACTTTTTCTGAGGGTTATGCTACCAGACAAAGACACTCTTTAATGATAGCTCTTTTATTTCCACGAAATAATTGCTTTAAATACTCTTTCTTCTGTAGAACTATTGCTGATTGGAACAACCTAACTAATAACATTGTAACACAAGAATCACTTTCATTGTTTGAAAAATGCTTAGAGTAGTTCTTTTAGTACCATTGATTATATCTTTTGCTGCATTTGTTCCTTTTTGTGTGTCACTTGTAAAATTCGATTATTACTTAAACGGAATCTTTTTTTCCAGCGATGTATTCTCTGTATATTCTATATACCCTACTTGGCATTTCGCTAATTACTTCGAATTTTGTTTCGCATCCCTATTTGTGTTGCTTTAACTGTATGCCTTATATTGCCCGCGTTATGCATTTTCTGCGTGTATATTATTTTGCCCTTTCAGAATACTCTGTACCTCTGTCTCACACCTGCTATAGTCTCTGTTCGCGACTACAGTATCAATAAATAAATAAATAAATAAATAAATAAATAAATAAATAAATAAATAAATAAATATATTATAAAGAGTGAAGCGAACCGTGACGATAGGGAGACACTGGGTGCACGGCTTGTAGTCCGTGTGGCAAAGCAAACTTTACCGGCTTCTGGCTGCAGCGAAACCGCTGCCGGAGTTTTTTAACGAGGTGGCTCGACGCGGCAGGCCCACACTAAGCGGTCCCTTAAACGTGTGGCTGACGAAGGCGCCACGCCGCTAATCTTGAATCGGCGGTCCTTGTTGCCGAGCCCCACGGCGACAGCATCCGCCCCTTAATCACCAGTCTTCCGCTATACGCGCAGCGCCACGTCATCGTGTTGCGTAATAGACGCTGTACGAACAAGGAGTCCTCATATAAGACAGGCAGGCAACGTTTTAAAGGGCGAAGCTATTGTATTAAAAGGCCCCATATGATCATTCGCGAGTTATTCTTTTAATGGGAGTTAACAAAGATGAAAAGGCTCTTCTCTTTGCTTTTTTTCTTTTCTCTTTCTGTCTGCCCTTTCAATCTATTTTCTTATCTCTCTCTTTTTTCTTCTTTATATAAGTTTTTTTCTGTCTAATTTGGTGTATCTTTTGTTTTTTCAAATTTCTGTCACTCCGTCTTTGTTTCTCCGTCTTTCTCTGTCTCAGTCTTTCTATCTCACTTTCTCTTTATCCTCCCTCTTTCCTTTACACCTTCTTCTGCCTGCTTCCATCTCCCTCACTCCGTATCTAATTCTTTCTTTTTCCTTCTACCTGCGTTTAGTTTCGTTTTATCCGCTCTCAGACTACCTGCACTTGTTCGCTCGCCCACAAGAGTTATCGCATCTCACGCCGGACGAATCGGCGCACGCATTCTGGGAGCGATTCAAAAGATGGAGACAGAGATAGCGCGTACCAATTGACGATGGTTGACGATGATGAAACCTTTTTTTTTTCTTCGACTAACAAACTCCTATCAAGCTTAAAGCACTCCACTGTTACAACAGTAAGCTCGAAATTCAACGCTTCCTAATCGACACCCGGAGCGAGTGGAATGCATGCGATTGCACTTCACAACGGCACAATGATATCACGCACAACATTATTTCGCAGAAAACAACGATGACTTAATAGAAAACATGGGCACGCACACACGCACGCACGCCCACTTTTTGCTAACAGTCACTCTGTTGCTTGACAAATATGTCTTACTGGATGCACGCTTTACAGGAGACAAAATAATATCACTCTGTTGCATGACAATTATGTCTTCTTGGTATGCCCGCAGTACAAAAACAATAAAACGATAGTTCTGTTGCACGACAAGAATGTCTTACAGGTATGCACGCTTTACAAAAAAAAAACAAAATATTGCTCAGTTGCAAGACAAACATGTCTTACAAGTATGCACGCTTTACAGGGGACAAAATGACAATCGCTCTCTTGCATTACAAGTATGTCTTACCGGTGTGCACGCTTTACAAGAGACAATAAAAAACAATGGATCTGTTGCATGACAAGCATGTCTTACTAGTATGCACACTTTACAAAAAAACAATAAAAACAATCGCTCTGTTGCATGACAACTATTTCTTACTGGTATGCACGCTTTACAGGAGACAAAGATCTGGAGATTGGGCTGCCGCATACATTAACCATTTGATGCCCACTGTTGCTCTGGGGCAACAACCCCAAAAATAATTTTTTCCACAAAATCACGTTGTTGTGTGATACTGCTAGCCCAATCTGTGGAAAAAGACAAAGTCTACCAAGCGTCCTAAGCTTCAAAGAAATACACACAGATGGCAGCATCGCCTTTTTCTAGTACTTTGTTCGAGCGTTTGAGAGGTGGCAACGCAAGCTCCGCACACGTGAGTAAATTTATCCTACTACAGCGGAACGGGACGCTACCGCGAACTATGTTATACTCAAAATTGCGCATAAGGCGTTGTAGAACACTTACGAACAGGCTGAATGGTGTGACCGCATTTTACGCGTTAGAAATCTTCCCTCCAAAAACGCTGTTGCTCACGAGCAACGTCGGGCATTTGCGGAGGTGCAAGCCGATATAGGGTTGGACGCTTGTTGCGTTTCTCTGCTTGACTGAACGCAAAACTAGGCAATAACATAATATTATTTCTACGAAATACGACAAGTGATAGTTATTGGACAATATTCTTTTGTCTTTCATGTATAGATGGCGATGCCAAAAGAAAAGAAATGGCTGACAGATGAAAAAATACAGGAGCTAATCTTCCTTCCGGATGGTCAATTATCCGATGTTGATTTTGACCGCGACCCAGATGATCCCGAATATGAACCTAGAGATGATAAAAAATTGATTGATCCCTGTCCGCTCGAAGTTGTGATAAATCTTCGCGATCAACATCCGCGAGAAGACGACGACGGAGGAATGCCAAGCAACCCTGTTGAAGCTGTTCCGGGAACATCCCGCCACACGGCCGCGCAGCGCAGAAAGATGAAAGAAAGCGTTCGCAGAAAATGGACAACAAAAGACGTTATGCTTGATGACACAGCCTGGAAGGGTGAGCTGCCCCCACCGCCCGAAGATGTGCTAAGTTCATACCAATACTTTTGTGCATTTTTCGATGAAGAGATGGTAGACACACTGTGCTATCAATCAAATCTGTATTCCACCCAGAAGAATGGCACCTGTGCAAACATCACCAAGGAGGAGATTAGGAAATATCTCTCCATATTAGTGATTTCGGGGACAGTCAGGGTGCCTCATTTCCGAATGTTCTGGCAGTGTGGAACGAAGTTTGAGCCTGTAGCGGACCTCATGTCTAGAAATTCGAGGCCATACATCAATGCCTACATATGAACAACTGTCAGGCAAAGCCACGACCGCCTTTTCAAGGTGCGCTCACTTGTGAAACAGCTGAAGAAGAACATGAAGGCAGTGGCCCCAGAAGAACGGCAGAGTGTGGACGAGCAAATTATTCTCTTCAAGGGGCGCTCACCGCTAAAGCAGTACATGAAATTGAAGCACCACAAGTGGGGCTATAAGGTGTTCACAAGGGCAGGTGTCTCCAGAATTATGCACGACTTCATCATCTATGAAGGTGAAAGTACTGCTCATGACAATGGATTCGGCATCTCTGGTGATATAGTCATCGATCTGGTGAAAGATCTTCCGGAAAGCAGGAACCACAAGTTATTTTTTGATAACTGGTTCAGCAGTCTGCGCCTGGTAGACTAGTTGAAGCGCAAAGAATTTCTGAGTGTTGGTGCCGTTAGAGTCGACAGGATGGAGAAGTGTCCGCTGGCACCTGACGCAACTCTCAAGGCGCAAGGAAGAGGCTTGGTGGATTTTCGCGTGGACGAGGACTCTAACATTGGAGTCATCAAATGGTTTGACAGCGACTCCGTACACATCGTGTCAAGCTACGCTGGTGCCCAACCAACCGACCTTTGCAAGCGGTGGAAACGCAAAGAAAAGCGCAGCATTGATGTTCCACGCCCTTTCGCCGTAAAGGAGTACAATGCCTTCATGGAAGGTGTTGATCTCGCCGACAACCTTATTGAGCTGTACCGCACAGACCACAAATCGAAAAGATGGTACATGCGCATTTTTTACTGGCTGATGGATGTTTATATTGTCAATGAGTGGCTCCTGTATAAACGCCACTGTGCACAGCTATCTATCAAAAGAAGGTTGTCTCTGCTAGCTTTTCGAATGCAGATTGCCCAAACCCTTGCACATCTGAAGTCAAATCCTTTGAAAAGAAGGTCAGGTATCGCTGCTGAAGCTGGAATCGTGTCCGCCAAACACTTGATCCATTCTCCGGTGACACCGAGGCCCACAGTGGACGTGAGGTACGATGGCATGAACCACTGGCCACAGTACGGCGAAAAAAAAAGAACCGATGCAAGTTCTGCAAGTTCGGCTACACGTTTCTGTACTGCGCTAAGTGCAACATGCACTTGTGCCTCCTTCCAAGCCGCAACTGCTTCAAGGCATTCCACGTGAAGTAGTGCCTCAAGTGCCAAATGTTGCTCAGGAGCAACACCTCATTACTCACCTATAAATAAACATAATTTTTTTTTCTGACAACGAAATTGGCATATTGTGACCTTTCTTTATGCATGCCAGAGTTTCCTTCATGTTGTGCATTTAAACAAAATTTTGGGCATCAAAGGGTTAACGTGATGTAGCGACGTAGCAACATACGCGAACACACACAGAATGACACGCGTGTAAACATACGAATGGGCTAGACAATGACAAGTGGTACCTGCCACTCTCGTGTAAACCCAAGACGGTCACGCTTAGTCAACAACCACTCGGGCCAGTTTTAAAGCACCAGCGCACTCATCGCGACGAGCTACAAGGGCAAGAGGCCCACACGAGCGAGCGGGAACCGCCACATTGAGTCACGACTTCGACCACCGAGAAGCACGAACACAATGCCACAAAATAGCCTGGCCACTGTGCACCGGTAAAAGACGGGATGTCCAATCGCGCTAACTACCACTCGGCGACGCAAAATCAGTGGGGCACACGCGTGCGCCCAATTTCCTGAGGATTATGCTGCACTCAATTAACATGAAGGAACCTCTGTTTATGTAACACCATATGAGCGCGGAACAGAACTAAGAAAATGATGAACGTAGTGGAATTTTGAAAACGCGCCATTACCTAAACTGTACTGAGAACATCTGACGGATTTTATGAGTAGTCCCTTCGGTCACGGCGCTCACAAGAGTGTACGCGAACCTCTACAGGCACGCCACACGCCACCTGTTTCTTCAAAATGGCCTTAAACTATGTTCGCACGTTCCTGCAGGCTTCCCGAGTGGACAACTAGCGAAAAACTAATTTCATTGTGCCGCGTATTGTTGCAGAGTATGACTTAGCCGCAGACACTGCCATGTTCGACGATCGTTCGATGTGCCACGTTCCAGGACCAACGTAAAAAGTATTTTTTTTTCGGCACTCGTAACAAATAAAACAAAAAACACAACCAAACCATGCATGCATTTCGGGCCTAATAGTTGATCCTTTTTGTGCAAATACCAAAGCTTACTGGTAGTAGAAATAAACAATTATTTACACACCCATTAACTCTAATCACCGCCACTCACACAAAACAAAACATTCCTTCATTTTTTTCTTGGGATATAATACTCAATGCTATGCGATTTTCGCGCGTTTCTGACTGCTTAAATTAATTCTTGGCTTAAGGGGGTAGGGATTCACACTCTATCAAGTATGACCTCTAGCAGTACATACCAACAAAAAAACTTGAAATGAGACTGGTGTAAGCGGGAAGACCCTTCCAGATAACGCATGCTAGCATTGCTACTTCGCTATAGTTTCTGCGCACTTGGGAGTCTCACGGACTGCCCCAGCTTCCCGCATAGCTGTGTAAAGTTTCTCTGCAAAAAGGCAATTCGGACGAATTTCATTACTCGACATTCTCGCTGTGAGAAGGAGAAACCGTTAACACGACTTCACCTTTGCGACTCGCGAGTTGTGAAATTCGGAGGGGACAGTGAGGTGTTAGCCATAGAGAAAAAGAGCAGCTCGTGTACAAAAAAAGCTGCTGCGGCAAGGTGCCACAAAATCTCGTTTCGAACCCCGGTGTGCGCCGTATTTTCGCGTGTCGGTACTCGCAACGAGGCATGCACAACGTAGTGGCAATTTGAGGCTGCGTGAAATACACAGAGTCGCAAAGCGAAAAAAGAAGAAAGATAAATACGTCACAGTGCACACAAAATCCGCGAACCGTCTTTGACAGGGGCCTGACTGACTTCGTTAGGCGCCCATCTCTTGGGAGGCTCGACAAAAGCGAGTTTGCCTACGAGCTGAAAACGCATATTAACAGGAAAATAAAATAAATAAAAGACAAGCACAGCGCGCCCAAGGGGACACCGCTGCAGTCGGCTACAGCGTTGCCGTGGCAACAACCGACCGCCGGCGGAACGGACGGTAAAATAAGAGCGACACAACGTGAAAATAAGCAAGCACGGTGTTGGCGGAGTGAATGGAAATGAGCAGACGAACTAAATTACTGGTGAAGGCCACGACAAAAGCAAGCAAAAAAGCGAAAAAAAATGAATGAAAAAGCGCACACTTGGTTGGCAGACGAAATCTGGCAGACAAAAAAAACATGGCTCGGGAAATGGGACAAGATTCGCGTAGCACATGGGCAAATGAAAATATTGCTTGATGAGTCAATACAAAATACACTAACGCATGCAGTTACCAAAAAAAGAACACATTACTTTGGAGTAATACCCAAAAAATACCTCCAATAGATGATGAATTGCAAAAAAGTGCAGTTCATCGTGCTAACAGAGGACAAATCTGCAAATAGGAAAACAGTGCAAAAGGAGACGAACCATAAGCAACAAAAAAAAAAAGGCACAGGCCCCACGTTGATATTGCGTTGAAACAATCAAACATTTAGTTTGTTAGTCAGCCCTCGTCCTGAGCGTTCCTTCGCATGTGCTTCGTCTCATTCGCGCTGTTTTTGTTTTTTCACTTTCATGTATAAATCAGCAATAAACAAAAGCTAAACTGGCAGACCTGAGCAAACAATGCGAGCGAAAAACAAAACTTGGTTGTCGGCCCCCTCGACACGATGTTATTTGAGGGCGTGCGCAACTTCGTCTACGACGTCTACCCGCGTGAGAAAACAGCGGAGGCCAATCATACAATAAAAAAGTACGCTTATACACGCCTCCTTCTTGTTGTCTGCTTTTCAGAGGGCCTTCTGCAAACGTTTACCTTAACAGACGATAAAAGACCGTGTAGCCTAGCCTTACTAGACTAATAACATTGGTTTTACCTTAGCAGACGATAAAAGACCGTGTAGCCTAGCGTTACTAGACTAATAACCTTGGTCTGGTCAAGGAGAGGAAAGAGGGTGAACCAACAATGGCGTTCGTTGGAGCGAGTTATTTCCGAGATCAAAAAAATACGCAACATGCAATAACCTGCTATTTGAGATAGGCGGCGCGCACGCTAAACAACAACAACAAAAAAAAAAACATGCGCGCGAGTCGTCTGCGCGTGCGCAGATCGTGTGCAGGAGAAGACGAAGCACTCTCAAAAATGAAAAAGAGCCCCGCCACGGTGGTCTAGTGGCTAAGGTACTCGGCCGCTGACCCGCAGGTCGCGGGATAGAATCTCGGCTGCGGCGGCTGGATTTTCGACGGAGGCGAAAATGATGTATAGGCCCGTGTGCTCAGATTTGGGTGCGCGTTAAAGAACTCCAAGTGGTCGAAATTTCCGGAGCCCTCCACTAGGGCGTCTCTTATATTCTTATGGTGGTTTCCGTACGTTAAACACCACATACCAAGCAACCGAAATGAGAAAGAGTGAGCATGCAGTGGTAAAAACAAACCCTAAGTTTATTAACACAGAGCAAAGTATGAACCAGTTAGCAAATACGCCGTGGTTAGTTTTATTGCACGTTGTCTTTTCACAGCAAGGGCGAACAAAACAAACACGAACTTTCGCAGCACGACAGACAGACAGAAATACAGATGGATAGGAGGGCCAGAAGGAGAGCAAGCAAGCAAGCAAGCAAGCAAGCAAGCAAAGGATGTGTGGAAAGCGCGTCGCCTTCATTGCATGCGCAAAAGAAAAAGTTACTACAACACAGAACAAGTACTGCGGACACCCCCCCCCCTCCCCAACACACACACAAAACCTGCAAAAAAAAAAAAACACTAGACGTGACCTCTGGAGCAGAAGATATGCGCTTCATTATGAAAAGTGAAAGCAGCAAAAAAAACCCGACGTCTCGTTCCCCAGCCCAAAAACCAGCCAGCCCCCCCCCCCCCCCCCCAAAAAAAAAAAGCTGTGGCGTGAAGCTCGCTTTTCCACAAAAAAAAAGAGAGAAAAAATAAATGCAAATCGAATCCACCAACTTTAGAAGAAATTTCTCGGTATCGTTTGAGAGTGCGACAGAAAAACCAAAACAAACAGCAAGCCTTTTTTTTTATAAATGTATATTTCAGCTCGCGGAAAAAAAGAAAACTTATTCAAGAAAGAAAGAAAGAAAGAAAGAAAGGAAGAAAGAAAAGAGAAAGAAAGAAAGAAAGAGCGAGAAAGAAAGACAGAAAGAAATAACGAAAGAAAGAAGGAAAGAAGGAAGGAAAGAAAGATAGAAAGAAAGGAAGAAAGAAAGAAACAATGAAAGAAAGAAAGAAAGAAAGAAAGAAAAAAAAGAAAGAAAGAAAGAAAGAAAGAAAGAAAGAAAGAAAGAAAGAACACGCCGAACCAGGCGCGATAAAGCCGATATGCAAGCATGTGTTTGGAGGCGGTGACCAGAAAAAGCATCAATCATTGAATTCGAAAAAAAGAAAAAAAAGTAGGACAGAAGTTTACAAGAGCGTTCGTAGACACGAGTAGAACGACACGAAGAGCACGTGTATAATGCGAAACGCATGATGTATGACGATGAGGCCACATCGCTCCATTGTTGTACGGAGCAATTGATGCTCGCTCCACACACGGCTATGTTCGCTCGCTCCGCGACAGACGCCGTATAAATCATCGCCGTAAAGTGAGAGAGGATGCACGCCTATACCGCTTTCGACGGGTGCGTAAACGTCTTGAAAAAAAGAAAGTTTCAGGGATGTTCAAAAAACATCGACTATACGTCATCGACGATTTATTCGATATTCAGAGACGCGAGCGCGACACCGGACGCCGAAACCAGCGATAAAGATCCAAACATGCCGTATAGGAGCGGTTCGCGTTACATTACCGGCAGTGCAATAAAAAAGATACGATACCGATTTGCCTGGAATATTAGAGAGTTTTAGTATTGCGGAATGGTGCTACGTACGCATCACGCAAGCGCCTTGCGTTACGTGGCGTCGTTTGCCACTAATCGGCTTTTAGTACGCCGTATACTACCCGCGTACGTAACGAGCGTGAAGCGTGTTGCGCCATCTGGTAGATCAAAATAGAAGCACATGTTGTTGACAGCCAATGTGAGCCAATCCAAGTGTTATAGCCAGATTGTGGCCATATTTTAAGCCACAGAGCCGGTCGGTGCTTGCCTTCGATGCCGCCATTTTGCAAAACGAAGTCTCGCGCTTTCGCGAACTTGTTCGAGAGTGGCGCGATCACCTCATACGTACGCACGTACGCATCTCATGCGTGCGTACGTAGCGGCTGCGTACGTAGTGCGATACGTGCGTGTTGCGGTCTGCGCATGCGCACTACGCTGAACGTGGCGTCCTTACGTACGCAACGCCGCCACGTACGCAGCGTACGCAGTTCTAAAACTCTCTATTGAGCGCGTGTCAGGTTATTGAAGGCGTTCGGAACGCGTTATTTCGTGCTTAATCAACGTTTTGAGGGTTGCGAAGCGGCCGTGAGTCGGTAGCAAATGTATGCGTGCATGCATCGAGGACTTGTCTGCAACGAACCAGTCCTGATATGGCAATCCGATTTTAATCGTAGTCACTCGTTTCAGCTATCGGCGTTAACTGGGTACATAACTATCGTTGTCGCCCGAAACGACTGAAGTGTTGTGCTGCCAAGCACGCCGATGAAAGAACCATTTCCGGCACTTACACAGTTAGGAGGTAGCATTACGCCATAAGACAGAAATACGGACAGAACAAAAAAAAAGTAGGTGAAGCCCGTACACGACAAGCATCCCTTGCCCCCCCCCCCCCCCCCTTGCCAATCGGGCAAACTCTCCTGACCTTCTTCCTGTTTCCCACATTTTAACTCTTTCTTTTGTAAATGTATCATTGGTGGTTTGACCAGACAGGTATATAACGTAAGGGCTAACGACTGAACGCTCGAATAAAGAATGCGTTTACCTTTAGGTTTCTTTGCTCACTGAGCTCGTTAGTCCCGATGTTGACGCTGCGGCTGTC